TGCGAGCGTTGGTGTGCGTAGCTGTACATAAAGGAGGGCTGTGGATACGAGAGACTGCAATAGCTTTTGACTGGTAACCGGATAGTTTTGTACCGCACCATCCTGCCTCAGCGACGCCGACTTCTTGTGCAATAAACAATAAGCAGCTGCCGAGGTGTGCGTGTCCCTGGTCCGTGTGTCACACGGGGGGACGACCCAGTGCAGCCTTGGGGGGGGGGTCTGTGTGGGGACTGGGCTGAAGGGGCCGTGCTGGGCGCCTGGAGCTTGTCAGCAGGGTGATAAATAATACGTATTTTTTCCATGCACGCACTGCGCAGGAGGGCAGGCTGGGGCGCAGCGCTCCTGCCTTCGCCCAACCTATAATCAGCCTCGGCTAAAAACGTCTCTGGGATGCTTTGCCAGAGCTGGAGCTGCCGCCCTGTGCCACTGTGTGCCACCCACAGTGGCATTGGCGGAACAAAATCAGGTGAATGAGGCCAGTGGCCATAGGCTGGTAGCGTTAAAAAAAACAACCCACTCCACCACAAGCAGAACTAAACCACCCCACTATTGGCAGCACCAGTGATTTTGCCATGACTTTGCTTTTCAGCAGCTGCCTTGGCTGCTTGGGTCGTTGTGTGGGTTTGGATGATTTTTTTTTTTAATAGTCTGTACTTGTGCCAAGCATGGCCTGGCCGGTGCCAGCCCAATCCCCAAAGAAATGCTCCGGAGGCCGTGGGCAGGCTGCTGGCACCTTGCAGTCTCCTGGCATGGGCGTGCCAACGCAGTGCTCGCGTCCACCTGGAGCCCCGGGCACTGCTCATGCCTGGCCTGGGAGGTGGCTGGGGAATTGGTGGTGTCTTGTGCCGGGGAGCAGCACGTCCCCCTCTGCCCCAGCCCCAGTGCTGCTTTTTGGTTCAGGAGGGCAAATGCAGCGCCCTGTCCCTGTCCCAGTGTGGGACGGGGAGGTGGTACGGGGTGGCAGGTTACAGCGGCGGCCGCCCCGGAGCTGCTGTGCAAGGGAGGCTTCCCGGCGCCGCGCCAGCACAGCGCTCCACCAACAGGCGCCGAGGGGCCCGGGGACTGCGCAGACAGGAACCAGAGTAAACACACGCCTGTCCGTGTCGCAGGGAAGGGGCTGGCTGTAATGAAGGACTCCTAGAAAAATGCAAATGTGTACACACATTGCAAGCCTCATGTGGTAATGACCCGATGGCTTTTGGGAGGAAGGGAAGATGTTCCTCACACCGGCGCCTTCCTGCCTCACCCGAGCAGCAGCCCATCTTCGCCCGCATTTCCACCCCTCGAGGGCATCATGCACCAGGAATACAGGCTTTTAGCTACTGTTTTGGTGTGTTTTTTTAAAGTCTCAGGTAACAAAACATCTTGTCACTAGCCAGCTGGAAAGGATAAGGAAAAAAAAAATTGATACTAGCCCAGCAGCAGCAACAGCCTCTGCACTCTTCACTCCATGGTGCTTCTAGAACTCAGCACCTCCTCCTCAGCTCAAAAGTGAACTGATGCTAATAAATCAGCGATGCAAATATAAATCAGGTCTCGCACCATAGTGAAAACTCACAGTGATGGCTAAGACCTAGCACGGAGTCTCACACAGCATGTGGTGGAAATCCTCAGCTGTTGGGCTAAAAGTCCTTGAAGGAGCACTGAGGGCAGGAAAAGTGCCACACTAAAAAAAAATAAATGAAAAAATCTCCCCCGGCTTTTACCCCTTCCCTGCCCAGGGCTGAGACCCAAACTGCCCGGCTTGCCCCCCAGAGCTGCCTGCGCATCGTGACAGCTGCCGGTTTGAGAAGATCCGGCCAGCCACGATACAAAGAACAGAAAAAGCAGGTGCCAACATAGAGGAATGCAGAGCACTGCCCGCCTCAACAAGCAAAAAGAACCCAGCATCAAAGTGATTTAGTTTACAAGATTTTTAATTTACAAATAAAAAACCTACACATTTTACTTCTTCTCCTTTTTCTCCTCTTTCTTGACATCGCTCTTCTCCTTGTCTTTCTCCTTCTCATCTTTTCTCTCCTTTTTACTTTCTTCTTTTTCCTGTCCTTCTTTCTTCTCCGCATCCCTGTTGGCAATCTTGTTGTTGATGAGGTTGTGCAGGGCAACCACGGAGCGAATAAGAGAAGCCAGGTAAACCACCACCATCTGGTCATTGGTCTTCAGGTAAAAGGCCTTGACAAACTCTTGCAGGTTGACGTCTGGTAGCAGGTTGAAGACATCCTGAAGGTGGTAGATGATCTGGTGGTTGATGGGGAGCTTGCCCATGGCTACTTTCTCTAGGTAGCTCCTGATGTCCAGAAGCTTGGAGTTCAGTCCCTTCAAGCCATGGACCTGATTTGTGATCCGCTGGGACAGAGTGCCCACCGTTGTATCCTTGATATCTCTGAAACACCGACAGAAAGAATCAGCACGGGAATGTTACTTTGCATTCTCATTAGCAGCGCACATGCACTGAAGATCTCTTTCCAGCTTAGAAAAGCAGTTGAGCACAGCTGAAGGCACTGAATGCTTCCAGTCAGAGCCCGAGAACAAACTGATGGACCTTACAAAGTACCTCGGGAACAGATCCCTGTTGTATCCTGTGGTGTGCGTATGTTCTCTTTGGAATAACATTTGTAACACCAGTCAGAGGAGAGAGAGAAATAAACCACAAGTTTGTGTACGGTGACTGCTCTCTTTTTTTGACTGGAGACGCATCAGCAGCGCTCCCTTTCAGCCCTGCTCCGTGAGGTGCACAGCGGCTGGAGACGCTTCCAACCGACGCAATATTCTGCAGCTTTGATAGCACGAATATGTCGTTTTCATCATCTCATCAGTGGGCAGTCACACTTTCCACGAGCAATGAGTGAATGTGCCAAGCAAGGCTGCTAAATGAATACGCTCTCAGAATTTAAGCAGCGTGTTTAACAAGCCCCGCGTTTCCCCCAGGAAGCTGGCACCAGGAGATGCCAGATGGATCACGTTCGCTGCTATGAGAGCCTCCTCAGAACACTCTCGGGCTGAAGATGCTTACCGTAGCAAGTGTTCCACGCCAACTTCCTCCGCCTCCTCTGCTCCGATCTCGCTGGTCACATGCTCAAACGTCTTGGAGGTCGGAGTGCCGTCCTTCGAGGTGCGAGGGGAGAGGAGACATGGTCAGACTGGGGACAGGGCTGGCTGCGCCAACCAGCCAGGACGGGCGCCCTGCACACGAACGCGGGGGCAACGCGCATGATGTCACAGCGCAAGATTAACTGACGCCTGTTTGCACGACAGGATGAGGAAGAGGCAATGGGGCAAAACTATGGCAAAACAGAGTATCAGGGGACTGAAGGGCACAGCTAAGGGAGGAGTCTGTGAGCGAATCACAACGCCTTTTAAAAACACGGGATTTCAGACAAGAGTACGAGAGGCTGTATTAATGAAACTAGCAAAGAGTTGCATAGAGCCCACAAGAAATCAGGGAGGAAAGACTCCAGTTGGGTTTTTCTTCATTTCATTAGCATGACCAACTGGGGCAAGCCCAGAGTCGCTAGCAATTTCTTCTTTCTTGCACAATTTTCAATTAATGTATTTTGCTGGTCTAGGTACTGGTGGGTAGAATGGAAAGTCTCACTAAATATCACAATTCCTTCTTTCCTGATACAACCTTATTACATTTTGGGATACCTCTTTGTCATCCCGATATTTGCCCTCAGTCAGTTAGAGGCACATTTGCAGTTCCAGAAAAAAAATACTATTACGGAGCAACCTCATTAAGATTATAATTTATGCACTGGATATTAAGGAAAAATTTCAAAGATTCACAGGCTGAATTTCTGAGAATGAGTTTTACCCATGTCTTTTCAACCCCACTGCCTGGACCAGTATGCAGCTGTAAATAAAGCACCGCTGGACTATTGGGAACTCACAAAACTAAGAACAAATCCTGCAGGTGTAAGAGCTACAATACAGGCAGCAGCTTTTTCTCCTTAGTGAGGGTCTCACGAAGGCAAAAGGATAAAACTTTTTTATATACATCCAGAATGTAATTTAAATCAAACAATTGCAAATTAAAAGCTAAAGCTGACTTACTACTGTTTGTTGTTTGTCTGCATGGTGCTGCAAGCGGTGAGCAAGCGTTGCTCGTGCCTGACCTACCCACTCAGCACTGGCAGGCGCACAGATGAAGAAGCACGCAATTACTCAGAACACCTCTGCAAACAGGCTGACGCGTAAAAGTGACATCTTAAAAGTGCTCCGATCTGTGACTGCCTTCATGGCCACGGACATGACGGAAACAGGCAAGAAGGATCTAAATCATACGGACAGCTGGAGCTGTGGAATTCCTTAGGTCAGACAGTAACACACAGCTTTTCTTCCAAGAGCATTGGTGGACAAAAGCTTTAGTTACAAATCCTTATATTACAACTGGGATTTCAGCAGATTTGGGCTGCAAGTCACAGGCCCCCACTAGTGAGTGCAACATCCCAACTATGTGCCACGGGATGTGCATCCTTCAGAAAATAAGGCAATGCTAACAGCCAGCTTTTAATGGAAACCCTTTTCCTAGGAAAAGGCAGAGAGATGTGTTAAATACTCACATCATGAACTTCTTCAACCGAAATATAAGCTTCTGTGGGCAGCCCCAGGTCCTTTGGCTTCACATCAATAATCACCAACACCTCATGGAAAAAACAAACATTTCAGAAAACCAGGTTTCATTCAAGGATTAGAAAAAAAACACCTAAGTCAGTCAGCTCTTCACTCCACAGCAGTGCTGCACTGGCTGCTCAGAGGTATTGACTTCAGGCACTGAGAAAAGACGTCTACAGCCGTTTCAAAAGACTCCGATCAGAGTTCCTCAATCATTTCACAGCTACCAGGCCTTTGATATGCTGTATCACCACCAGTAACAAAGGTGGGTGGGGGCCAAGGGTTCCCAGATTCCCCACTGAGGAAGGGGCAGGGGGGGAAGTAGCACACTTACAGAGTTAGGGCAGTATCTTTTCATCAGTTCATTGATGGCGATGTCGTTCTTGTGCAGTTTAGGGCCTGTGTGGTACCAACCCACTATTCTTTCTCTAGCTGAGCAAAACCAGAAAGGATTCTCAATCAGAATCGTGTGGTAAGACAACGACAGAAAGATTTAGGCAGAGACTGAATTAGCAAATCAAGGGTGAAAATCTGATGCGTGTAGAAGGCAAATGTAAAGTAGGGGGAAATGAATCATAGTAGGCAAAACAATGACATGGCTAGCAACAAGGACAGCTTACTAATCACATATACAACTGTACGCCAGGGTTCTTAACTGAACTGAACTATTCCACATCATTTAACTTTGCAGATACCAGGATCTGACAGCTTGAAACTCTGACAACTAAGAATGCAAAAATTCTAGAAACGCAAACTGTATCATGAGAATGACAATAGCGCTAAGAAAATTCATAGATGTTTAAGTTATGACTGAACATTCAGCTCTAAAGTCTCAAACTGAGCAGTGAAGACACCTTATAAACAGTGGCAAAGAGCAATTAGAATCATTACTTAAAAGTTTGTAACGTTCACATTCATAAACTAATTTCAGGGCACATCTGTATAAAAAAGGTAACAGAAGGGAAAGCCTTGAAATTCTTCAGAAATAATGGCATTTTTGAAATCTGAACTATTCGGAAGACAGAAAGCTGTCAGGCGACCTGGGGAAATTAACACGGTATGAATTAATGTGTGAGGAACACAAACTACTTGCACAAATGGAAACCATCAGTGAAAGCGAAGCCACACAAGGGATTAGCACGGAGTGGCTCCTTACGTAAGCAATTACTGTTCTACCTTACGAGTTTGCTTTCCCATACAGAGTCTTGAAAGTTTCTAGGAGAGTAACCCTGGCTGGAAAAAGACCTCGACTCACCGTTGACCTTCTTAAACATTCCATACATGTTCTCCAGGTAGTCATGGTCTAGAAACCACACAGTATCATCCTTGTCATCCTCATCAAAAGGTACTGTGAATAAAACAAAAGCCCAGTATTTAAGAATCCAACTTCCAGACCGAAAATGTTTATAGAAACACTACGTTGCAGGAGATCTTTGGCTGCTAAAGGAGAGTTCAGTCAGGTTCAACTGTTCTGCAACACCACACCGCACCAGCCAACCTGCAGCACTGGGCCCTTCTCTCGGGTAGAGGCCGCCGTCCTGTAGTTACTAACGGTTTAGAACGGAGGAATGAAATGCAAAGCCTTCTGAGGGTTATCCTCAGCGGACAACGTCAAGCATCAGAGAGACATCCTCCCGTATCAGAGAGAAATCCTCCCGCACACACAAGGGACTCAGCAGTGCACAGACGTTTGATACGACAAACTGAGCATCCCAGCAGACTTCATAGCTTGCCGTTCAACAGCGGTCTACCAAGAGAAATGTTAGCTTTCAAGGTGGAACACGACACCAGCACTTTCACGGACAACTAGAACAAAGTGAGGCACTTTAAGTACGGACTGTTTACCCTTGAGTAAATTACTGGTAATTTTATCAGTTAGCCTGTATACAGGGACACAGGATCAGTTCTGAGGACAAACACTGTTCTCAGTCTTTTAATTCAAAGGTACAATAAAAGCTTCATAGTTGAAAGGCTGCCAAAACAACAAAAACCCCCAACCTCTTTTCAACTCAAATGGAAAAATGTTCCTCCAAAAACTGGGAAAAAAGAAGTCCGCACTTGGGAGAAGAACTGCATACAAACCGTGAAACTCCATGTATAAACTGAGATAATTTTGCACTGTCACAGAGCAGCCCCACTGGGAAGGAAATGCTCTAACTAACACAAATGGGTCAGCAAAAGCCGCGTTCAAGAAGTACTTTTACTATCACGTATAAGTATTTAATGAGAGAAAACTATTTCAACGCTATTAACAACATACTTAAGGAAAGAACTAGTATTGGACAAAACCTGAGGAAAAGAAGCAACACTAAAATAGACATTAAATCTTTGCACAAGTAGGTAAGAGCTGGATCAGCACCAAGAGCTGTGATTTCCGTGGGACATGCTGAGACACGGATCACTCAGCAGAGGTCAGAGAGTCCAACGCAGCAAAACACTCACCAGCATTTTAGGAGAGGTTTACATCCGCTCCCGAAACATTCCACATTGCACAACATTACAGGGAAAACGCAGCACAAGGCTGGCTGGAATCAGAGTGGTTTTGACAGCACTTAGCACTTTTTGTTTGATATAGGCTGATTTGTACAACGAGAAAAGAACCTGTGGTCTGGCAGGGTGGCTTACAAAAACCCCAAACGCAAGTCACCTCTTAAATAATTCAGTAGTCTGAACAAGGGTAGGATGCCCAAACTCACCTGCAAAACTGTTGGACACATCTAGTATTTTTTTCTGCCACGAGCCCAGCAGCACACCGACGACTCGTTTCTGATTCCCAACTTTTCCTATTCTAAATGGAAAAGACTGTCAGTTCCTGTGACAAAAAGCCTGGTTCGGGGAAGAAGGTAACAGCGGACAAGTTGTTACGTCTAATTCCTGCAAGTTAAGTAGCATGTGCCGTGGAACAGAAGGAAAGGCATAATGATTGCTTTATTACCGGTTCTTAATTTACATCTAGAAAAAGGTGTTTTGGTGCCCTCCGAACCAAACCTTGTAACCCAGTGACGCGGAAAGAGGACGACGTGGAACCAGGGGGGACGTGACCCAAAATGACCACCGCCACTCCGCGGGACAACGCGCTACAGAGAAAGTGAGTAAGCTCTTCAACTGCTCGGTGTCGCCCACAGTTTGCTTTCAATTTGCAGGCTTGTTTGCCTTGCGAGATTTTTTTTTTTTTTCCCCTTTTTTAACGTTAAACCGGCTTGTCAATTGGCGCAATTAAGTTAAATTAGGCACGAATTACACCGGGCGGTTACAGAGGGATACGGTTTCTGCCCCGCTGCGGCCATAGGCAC